CTCTCAATTTTTCGAGGATACCTCGACGGGATGTTTTGCAACTGCGCCCGAATTTTCAGCAGCCTATGGGACATCCATTGCGTGTGTTTCGACACCAAAAACTTGTTTGCAGGTTCTATGGTTGCGGAGCAGCGACGGTTTATGAAGATCACTGCATGACCGGTGCATGCGGCGGACGGCAACCAACGATGCCGTGGAACGCGCGGCGGGCCGACATTGTTACATAACGGAGCCTCTTAAAGATATTCGCAAAACACCTCAGAATATGTATCACTGTGCCCAAAATTGAACAAGGAATACGCCTGTGCACGCTTTGTGTCGTCACGAGACATGCTGTCGCATGCATGACGTTGTCAAGCTTTAAGTGCGATTTTCCGGAAAATTTGACCTTTGACCTGGCACAACATGGTCAGCTATTGACCTAACACCATAAACGCTTGCATTTATCGCTTATCGCGAGATATCTTTGAAAACAATCCACTGATGCCTCCTGTTGTGCCATATCATTATCAGTTTCGAAACACCAGGGGGTCACGCTGAGCCCCCTATCAGTCCGCGTTATGAAAAACGGCGAATCAGGGCAAGGCTTAACACGCGCTCGGGTGGTTGGTCAAATTACCTCCCCCCTCCCCCCCCCCTCCCCCGATGTTTTTCCAGAATGATTTCTGAGCGGCGCGGCGTAGCCGCGCCAAACTTTGCATAGCTGTAGATAGCTTAAAAGCGGACCTTTTAATGCAAAAAATCAGATATATCTCGCAAGGTCGCTGACCTCTGCAAGGTCAAAGCTAGGTCACGGCCGTCAGCGAAGGGCATTTCTACGGAATCTTTTAATATGAAGCAACAACGGAGTGTTGGACGAAGCCATACGGATCTGAAATAGTTTCTTAGGTGATAGCTTAATAGAATTTGTAAAAACAACCAACAAACCAAGACACTGATCTAGAGAGTGAACTTATCTAACCTATTTTGGCCCCAACATCAAGACTTAGGAACCACAAATCCTGACTCAAGTGAGTTAACGCACAGGCCATCCTACCCTGTGAATTTGGTGTCTATAGCCTTCTTATTTTTTCGAGGTCTCATTGGGGGGTCAAGTTCAGTCATCCGGTCACCCGGGCCCTTGTTAAACCTGATACACACAATTTGGTGGTGACAAGACCAGGAGAAAGCCGTGTGCACATGACAGTGCGCAGCTGAAATAATATTGTTTAAGCCACTGAGGCACGCCAACATGGATAGCTTATTTATGCGCTAGCTACTGTACCTATGTATAACCATTTGTGGGGCCTGTTGTTCACAATGCGTAGATACTGGTAGTGGAGGCTGCTGTGGAGGGCGGGGGGGGGGGGGGGGGAGGAGGGATATCCACCCAGGTGAAAAGGGAGATACCACCTTGATAACATTTGATACCTCATTCAAGCACTCATGCCCTTCTGTTGCAAGTCCTTCTTCTAACGAACCATATCAAACACGCCAAACTTACCCATCATGAACAACCCGGTTGAACAGCTACAAATCTTGAAAGCCTGTTTCTTACCACACAAAGCCCTTAAACCACTCAGGATGCTGAACTCGTAGTGCTCGCCATAAGGCTGCCGTGTGACCCCCGGTTAGGGGGCATGCACCCATAGCCGACGGTGGAGGGCCATGGCGCTGCAAGAGTGTCGTGGAGCTGGAGAAGCTGGAGCTCGAAGAGTGGAGCTGCGTCGTCAATACAACGTGAAGCAACGTAAGCTTTACACACGCGTTTTGGCAGCAGCACCCGTGACGTACCACGTCTTCATGGGAATGTTTCTCACCTGAAGAATTGAAGCATGCATGAAATATGATGAAATAAGCTCAATTATGACAACGGTTACACGCCTACGTGAAAAAGACTGCTCTGGAAAACATAATTTCTCAGGCTGATAGATATTCTCCTCAGTGCATTATTGTTTCATAACGTCACCGTGCCTTGCACAACATTGACTGAGGGCCAATTGACGGCCGTTACATAAAAAATGCTGCTCGCGAACGCCGGATATGAACTAGTCGTCAATGATATCTTTCTTGACCTTGATTGCCGCATGGCTAAGTCATGACAGAATTTGAATGGCGTGATCATGGCGTCATGGATGCATGGGTGCCCTTGAAATAGTCCCCTTAAAATAGTCTGCACACCTTCACAGGGGTAAGGCTCAGCTACTAGAGGGGCTTGGAAGAAGATTGGAGGATACTAGAGGGTTTTAGAAAAAGGACAGAGTTGTGACCGAGTGCCCGTCAAGATGGCTTTCAAATGTTCAAAACCCCATACCTCCGTGGAACGGTCCCTTCTATGGACGATGCTTATCCGAATGTCAAATTTTATCGGTTTTTTGAAGGTGCATGTGGTCCGCAGTTTCAGAACCACAGATGAGATCATCAATGTGCTATTCGCTGATAAAGTCTCGAAGAGGTAAGCCGAGCAACCTGCGAGTGTGGGCTTGGCTTCGGTGCCTCGAAATGGTTATGTGTTTTTAGGGTGCATATTCGTTCAATTTCTGATCTTTCAGCCTCTCGATTTTCACACTAAGAACAGCAAAGATGCACAATACACATACCAAAATACAGATAGCAAAATATCGACATAAAATGTTCCATAGTTTGTCCAGCTTGGTCCGATCTTCGGCGCGAGCAATGTTGTGAGGAAGTGTTGAAGAGGAGGATGAAAATCTGAGATCACCAATTTCAGTACGACTGATGAAATCAGATGTGCCCTATTTTCTGGTGAAGATTTCTGGTCAGATCGGTTGAGCGGTTTTCGAGCTTGGACTTGGCAACGACGCCCTAAGTGGTTTAGGCGGTTTTTGAAGGTAAAGATGGTGACCCGGGGTCAGCAGTTTCAGAACGTTTAATGGAACCGCATACTAGATTTCGATTGATGCCGTCTTGAAGAAAATCTAGCCAGTAGTTCCGTAGTTTGAAGTTTGCTGCACGGATGTCGGTGAAGCAGTGTTGTACCTATGCGTGAGGGTATTCAACCAGCTGTGGGCAAAGCGAGGGCTGCCGTCGTCCTGGCGAGAGCCCTCCCTTATTTCTAGGTTCGTTGTGGCAAGAGCCGTGCTTAGTTTCGCAGCTGAGGCCGGCTGCGAGTGGCATCGACTTGTCTGAGCACCACCCGGCCGCACTTGCCTCCTCCATACGCACACTTTTGGAGCAAATAATCAAGACACAATTGTTCCGGTTTTTAGAAGGATACGAAACGGAAGCTCAGCACATTGCCCTGCCATTCTGTAATCTTCGGTATGCAAGGCACGTACGGAATTTACTTAGAACTGTTCTTGGCATGTTTTTTTTTTAATCGGTACGTATTGTACGTACGCAATTTGCTGAGCTGTTTTTAACGGGACGAACCAATGTTCTAGTGAGGGCTGCCGTCGTCCGATGTGAGGGCTGCCGTCGTCGCCGAACGTTGCTAAAAAAAACATGCTTATCTCGACAAGGGCCCTGGCTTTTTGTCTCAGAATTCTCTTCGGCGTCCTCACTAAATATAAACACTAAAAATAAAAACAGCGTTTTGGCAGCAATACCAGGGACGTACCACGTCTCCATGGGGCCTGGTAAGTGCCCGAGCTTCGGACGTTCTGTAGAACATCGTCAACAATGCTGTGATTTTCGACAGCGGTTTCATTCGGAATGTGCAGACAAACCTGCGCCAAAATAGTCTGTGTGGCCTTAAAAACATGCTTATCTCGACAAGGGCCCTGGCTTTTTGTCTCGGAATTCTCTTCGGCGTCCTCACTTATCGTGGTCGTGTGTTGAGGCGATAGGCGAGACTCTGCGACAGG